AGGAAGACTGGCCCTGAGCTAACATCTATTGCCAATCCTCCTCCTTTTTTTCCCTTTTTCTCCCCAAAGCCCCAGTAGATAGTTGTATGTCATAGTCGCACATCCTTCTAGTTGCTGTATGTGGGACACTGCCTGAGTATGTGGGACACTGCCTGACCATGGCTGGACAAGCGGTGCATCGGTGCGCGCCCGGCATCAGAACCCGGGCCACCAGTAGTGCAGTGCGTGCACTTAACCGCTGTGCCATGGGGCCAGCCCCTATATCTAGTTCTATGTTAAACAATTGCTACAGATCACAACAGAATACCTTATCTTTTCTTTCCTTCTTTCTTTCTTTATTTATTTAGTGTGTGTGTGAGGAAGATCAGCCCTGAGCTAACATCCATGCCAACCCTCCTCTTTTTGCTGTGGAAGACTGGCCCTGGGCTAACATCTGTGCCCACCTTCCTCCACTTTATATGGGACGCCGCCACAGCATGGCCTGACAAGCGGTGTGTCGGTGCGTGCCCAGGATCCAAACCCGGGCCTCCAGCAGCGGAGCACGCGCACTTAACCGCTATGCCATGGGGCCAGCCCCTCTGTTGTTTTCTGTTCCCCTCTTTTTTGATAACTATTTCTAGTAAATACTGACTGCATCAGTGATAAAATGTACGTGCAAATTATGATAGCAAAAAAAAAAATCAAGGTTTAGCAATTTATACAACTTCACACAATTTTTACTTGAAAATTAGTTAAAGAATGGCCTGAGTAGCAGTAGGCAAATAGTGTCCCCTCCCCAGTGGGACTGGGAGCACCTAACAGAACATCCATGGCTCTAACCAAGGGTCAGCACACATTTCCTTAAAGGACAAGTCAGTAAACATTTTAGGCTCTGCAGGCCTTCTGTTCCCTGGCCTAAGCAATCGGGGGGAAATCCACAGAAGCACCATGGACTGTTGTCACTGCTACTATGGGACCAGAAAGACGAAGATAATAATACTCAGAGCATTTACTGAAGGCTTACTCTGTGCTAGGTACTAATTAATCTTATCTGCATTTACTCATTCCATTCTCACAACAGCCTTGAGATCTGTTCTACGCACACAGCTAAACAGGGCACTGAGATTCAAGCCCCTATTACAACTTGGATTTAAACAAACTGTCTTCATTCTTTGTCAGTTCTGAAGCTCTGAACTGATAGTGGCAGACGACTAGGAATAATCTCTCAGCTTCCCTAGCTTCTGGGTACAGGACGTACGACTCATTCCAACCAGCAGGACATGAGCAGAAAAGACGTGTACACCTCCAGAGTTCTCTGTAAAAGGAAGGGGCTTTCCTGGACGTCTGTCCTCTTCCTGTTGCCAGGAACAGTCACGAACTGGAGCAGCCACTTGGGGGGCCTGGGATGGAAGCTGCACGGCGAGAGCAGCAGAACAAATCCCCCAGTCAACCCTGGACAGCCTGCCTCTGACCTCTGATGGGAAATTAGGTTCTATCTCGTTTAAGTGACCATATTTCATGGTTGAATTTCTTACAGCAGCTTAGCCTGTATCCTAACTGAAACATTTTCAATATATACTGTTTATAATTGTCGGAGTATGCACGCTTTAAAATTATGTGAAGCATATTACATACCTCAGGAGGAGCATGAGAAGCAAAGAAGTCCTCCTCCTTTGGTGGAGGGGATGAAGGTGGGACCACACAGCTGTCAAGCCACAGCTAGGATGGAAACACAAAGCACCACTCAGCATCTCCCCCAGCTTTAGAGGGTTTTATTAATACTCTTCACTCCTGTCTGTAGACATGTTTGCTACAGATTGGTCCTTTCCATCATTATACAACCAGTAACGTGCCTAAGCAGGGCCCACGAGTGCATTTTAGTAACGTAGCAACCCAGGAACTTGTGCTTCCAAACCTTGAAGAAGTCAAGTACCCCGATGCACAAGCCATATCTGAAGGAAAGATCCAGGATTTCACATCTAGTGCGACTCCCAAGTAGAGTCAACCCTCACTACGTGCGGATTCCGTATTGTGCCTTAGCCTACCGGCTGTAATTTACTTGTAACCCCAAGTCAAGACTCAAGGCGTTCCTGCAGTCATTCACAGACACCTGCACAGCGGCAAAGAATCTGAGTTGCCCGAGGTGCATGTTCCCAGCTTGAGGCGATGCTCTGCCCTCCTGTTTCAGTTCTCATACTGCAAACAAGTGTCCTTTCTATGGTCTATTTAGTGACACGTTTTTCACATTTTTGTGCTTTTTGTTGGTAATTCCATTGTTTAAAATGGCCCCTGAGCATAGCGCTGAAGTGCTACCTACCTAGGGTTCCTAAGCGCACGAAGGCTCTACAGTGTTAGATAAGCTTCGTTCAGGCACGAGTTATGGTGCTGTTAACCGTGAGTTCAGTGCTAATGAGTCAACAAATAAGGTGTCTTTAAACAGAAACACATGTAAAATAAGGTTATGCACTGATCAGTTGACAAAACTGTTGTGACCGGAAGCTCACAGGAACCTAGCCTTGTCTTTCCCTAGCAGCCATGTTTCAGCATTGATAATCAGTGTTCATGGTGACTTTACAGAACAGAAGTTCTGCAAATAATGAGAATCAACGGTATGTTGTTTCCTTGTAAGAGAATCAGGTAGGAAGTTTTACTTTTGGGATAAAAACCACTTTTCCTACTGAAACGAATGTTTGTCTGAAGGAGATGCTCCAACCCGCCAGTGACTTACATCCGTGCCGTGCTTGCGCGTGGCTTGGGAGGCGAGAGACCTGATCCTCTCCCTGTAGAGCTGGGCAGCCCGACTGTTGTACTTGGCATTGGTGTCATTGGTGGCACACCCATGTTGATGGAAAAAGGAAGACTACAGAGGAACGTAAGAGGATTAATAACAATACTGTGTTAAATCTAACATAGGGACTGAAAATGTTACTTCATGTTATGCAGGATTTTTTGAAACTACTAGTGAAAAGCAAAATGATTTAAACCACGAAAAATTTTAAAATAAATCTTTCCTTGCAAAGGGAATTCCCTCCCCAGATGTAACTTTAATATTTGGGTAAAACTGAACATGAGACTTGCATTACAAAATGAAATAACTGGCCCTTCATTTCTCTACTAAACTGCTTCCATCATTCTGAAGGTTATTTGGGGGGACGTTTTCCACTCAGGACTGTTTTTAATTCATAAGAAATCCATTTAACTCGGATTCCACTAAACCAGAATTTTTGACAGACCGGTTAGGAGCTACGCTAACCTTCGCCTTGCTCAGCACTGTTTCTTCATTAACAGAGACCACAGCACAGGCAAGGTGATAAAGCAAATTTTAAATAATTAGAGGAAACTGCTTTCAACCACCTCCTAAGGATCCATGTGTAGACATGAATTACAGAATTCATATCTTAATTAAAGCAGGTATTCTAAAAACCTGTTTCAGCGATCCTTTTATTAATCCAATTTGACTAACAACGGTATTGAGCACCCACATGTACCAGACCCTGTCCTAAATTCTTTGTGGGCATCATCCCATTAAATCCTCACAGCAACACCATCAGACAGTCATTGTTATTATCTACACTTTACAGACGGGGAAACTGAAGCACAGAGAGGTTCAACTACTTGCCCAACGTCACAAAGGGTGAGGGGCAGAGCTGGCATTCACACCCAAGCAGGATGGCTCCAACTCCACTGCCTGAGCGAATGACCACTGAGCTGAGGCTTCCCCGCCCCATCTCCCCCCGTCCACTGGCTCCAGATGAGAAAGTCGCTCTCTGGAGCCGAGTGGGGACTCTGCAACCTTGGGAAGGCTTAGAAATAAGGATGGATAAAATCAAACCCGCAGTCGTAAGTTTAGGAACAAGTCTGTGAACATCATGATAAGGGGCCTGGGTTTCTAAGATACTTGAAACACCTAAGGCATGCCTTCTTAATAGGGGTGAAATTGTTTTTTTGGAAAGTAAAAAAAATCTTAGTTATTACAATGGTTTGTGGCCCCCCCCCATAGTTCACCCCTACCTGACAAAATGGTGTTCCTTAGGATCTGATTTCTCCTACTAGGGAAAAATTAAACCCAATTCAAATTTAAAATAATCTAATTCAAATTTAATTTTTCTGCTTAGGGAGCCATAGTGAAAAAAGGTTGAGAAACACTGATCTGAGAGAATCTGGTATTTTGAAAACGACTATTTTAGACTTACGATTTTAATTTTAAATACTTGATGCTAGGCATAATTTTTATTTGAAATATATACAAATCTGATTTCTTATACTTTTAATGTTCAACAGCATGTCTAACAGACCTTCATTTACTCAATCTATATCATTTTGGCCTTATAAATAGGGTATCTGTGCTTCAGATGGTTTTGCTGGCTAGATTTGTAAGGCTGCCTGTCTAGTGTTTGAGAAATCAGATATATTGAATTTGTAAATGAAGTTTAAAATGTTTGAGGATCCTTAGGTTTGTAAATGGAATTAAGGACACCTGCTCTTTTAAAATTATAAATTAACTGAACACTTAAAGAAGTTATTTTTACACAGAAATTACTAAGTTTACAAACAAATATATGATATTTATATACTATATTTGAAGATTTGGAGAACAGGTTTTTTAATTTATAGATTTAATAAATTAAATAAAATTCAAATATAAGCAGCTATAAGCATTCCATTTTTTTTTTTTGCAAATATACACCAGTATGATGCTTTTCTTTTTTTCTTTTTTTTTTTATAATTTTATTTATTTATTTATTTTTCCCCCAAAGCCCCAGTAGATAGTTGTATGTCATAGCTGCACATCCTTCTAGTTGCTGTATGTGGGACGCAGCCTCAGCATGGCCGGAGAAGCGGTGCAGCGGTGTGCGCCTGGGATCCGAACCCGGGCTGCCAGCAGCGGAGCGCACGCACTTAACCGCTAAGCCACAGGGCCGGCCCTAAGCATTGCATTCTAAGTACAAAAGTCACCCTTAGATATTAAAAAACCATATTGTCATAAAGAAGCTTCTCGGGTCCTTTCTACCATCACCTCCTATTTTAATCTCCTTCAATGCGCTTATCTCCACCTGTTACTTTCTTGTTTATCTGCGTCTTAATCACTCTCTGTCTCTGCCTATATGAGAGGGGATTCTGTCTGTCTTACTGGTCACTCTACCCCAGCACCTAGCCCAGAGCTTCGTGTTTATTAGGTGTTTATAGATTTTTGGACAAACAAGTCAACCGGGTTGTCCAACTCTGAAGCCCATCACGTCTTTCTGTTACCCAGTAGGACCTCCCAAACGCTTCCAGGCAAACACCACCATCTGCACTAGTGTAACACTGTTTATACAAGAAGGAAAACAAGTCTGAGATGAACTTACTGCACTAGCATTTCCGCCAACTTGCATGCACCGCAACTGAAACCATGACCAGTTAGAGTCCAACTCTGTAGATCTAAATGGAAAGAATATTCTTACATGTTAATACTTCCCTTCCCCAGAATCAAGCCACTGAAATTTTGAGAACAAGGTTTCTTTATCTTCAGGATCCTGGAGAGTTCTAAGTTTGTTAACAGTGACACATGGGATGCTGGGACTCCAGAGTTGTATGACAGTTGGTACGAGCAGCTCCTGGCCCCTCTCACCCTTCCCAGAAGCCACAGCTCTGATGGCCCCGACCGCCCGCTCCCCTCCACGCCTGACCACAGGCAGCCACGCCAGGCAGGCAGCACTTTTGCTGCACTGACTCCAGCCAGCCGTGTCTTCCAGGGCACAGGACACAGCGAGCCTCAGGGGGCTGTTGGAACAACTCCGACTCGCTGTCTCGCATCCTTAGCGGGATATGATCTAAAATGTGGTGACGTGCCTCTACTCAAAACATATGTACTTTTTGGATTTTTCAGGTCATCTATCCATTTGTCCAGTTTGACGCCTAATAGGAGCCTGGAGGATGCCATATTCTTATCATCAGGTGGAAGCGACCTACCCAACATCACCACCAACAGGGAGGAGAGAAAACTCAGGATTTAAGGCTCCTGAAGTGAAAACTGCAGTGCCTCCTGCTCCCCCCACAGCTTATGCCCTACTCATCTGTAACCTACAATCAAATTGGAGCAAGGTAAGGGCAATACTGTAGTCCCCAACAACAAAACTTACCGTGATCACTGTAGAGCAAGATATGACAGTGCAACAATGTTGGAAGTCTTTATATTGAATCTACAGATATGAGCAAAAAGCAAGACTATCCTGTTATTCAACTATAGCTTGTCACACACTAACTGTAAAGGAAAGTGGACATTTTAGAACAGGGACGATACCCTTCACAAAATGGGCAAGGTAGAAAGAAAAGAGGTTTCAGAGCCACCAAAAATTTCCTTTCATCCTGCCCTTCCATTTACTAACTTCTGTGCCTTGGTATCGCTTAATCTTTGTGAATGTCAGGAAATTATTTTGATGTCTATAGCTACCTTAAGATTAATAATAATGCTAGTACATATTATTATTACATACGAGTACAACAAATCCACTTCATGGTGATATGTAAACAGTAAAAATTAAACCACACTTTAGAAGAAACGGATTTCCCAAAGACCAAAAAAAAAAAACTCCTTTTAGAATTTGATTATCAAGCTAGATGATTAAATTATATATCTTGTTCTGAAATCCCTTCTCTGAAAGATCCTGCTTAGTCACCACATTTTCATGAATCCCCCCAGACTGAAGTATGTACCATCCCACCACCTCTGTCACAGGGTGGCAGTCAACAGCACAGTCTCTGGAGACAGACTGAGAGAGTGTGAATCTCAGCTCTGCCACTTACTAGCTGTGTGACCTTGGAGAAGCTACTCGACCTCTCTGCACCTTACTTTCCTCATCTGTAAAGTAAGAATAATTATAGTATTATCTATTTAGCTTTTGTAGAAATTAAGTAAGCTAATGTCTGAAAAGTGCTTGGCTCATGGTAAATACCATATGGCTGAAATTCTCACCATCACCACCACTATCACCATCGTCATGGTAACCCTGGCACGCTGCTCCAGAGGACAGGCATGTCCCATATTTTTCTCTCACGATCCTAGCACAGGCACACAATAGGTACCTGAATACGGGCTGACTTAAAGGATGTCCTAAAAGTGAGGCTACAAGTACTCAGACGTGCTAATCTGCCTTACAACTTTTAGTCCTAACCTATCTTTAAAAAAATAAAGCCAAACATTTCTATATACATTTCTTAGAAACAGAGATAAAAGCGAATTGTTCCTGAACTGAGTTGACAGAGATTCTGTCTCATAACATTGGAATTTCAAAATAAAAGGTTTTGGTGACAACGGACTCTGAATACAGTCAACCTTAAGAAGCCACTTGAATTGCTCATCAGTGTCCATTCCTCCAAGAGGAGGTGACTCACTGCAGGCTACTTCTTATCTTTATTTAGATTAAGAGATGTTGAAAGGTAATAGTCTGACTGCTAAGCAAAAAGTAAAGCAGAGAAAATAAGAAAAATTGAAGAATTAGCGTCACTTTAACAAAAGTTAACCTGTTACTTTTAACGTCCTGTTAACCAATTAGGTAAAAGAGAAAACAGGTTTCCTGCAACCTCTATAATGAGTCAAGATATAATCTCATTAAAAATTGCATGAATTAGCTTCACTAGCGGCTGCCAAAGTCAGTATTTTTTTGCAAGCAGAGTATTTAAATAGATTTCAGACACTTATGAAATCAGAAGGAATCTCACCAAATAAACATGACAATGCTTTCATGTAATCAAAATTTTTACATGTGGTAAACTCTACCACAATTAGTCCAGACTTCTACTCACAGACAAGCCCAAGGGGAGCCTCCAAGCAGCCACCTGTTTATAACTCGCTGGACGGCTTACTCTAAGGTCATGAGAGGTGCTGCCTTCCTACCTAAGGTCGTAACAAGGTTCTCCTTGTGCGTCCACTGAGCAGACGATGGGTGACCTAGATCTGATCACCGTCAGCATTTGCTGGGGGCTCGCCACATGCCAGGACTTACGTGAGTTCACTCGCCTGCTCCTCCCAGCGCCCCACGCAGTAGCGTTAGTATTCTCATCCCCACTGTCAAGAGAAGGAAACTGAGACCCAGAGAGGCAGGGAACACGCCCAGAGCTCGTCAGGGCCGGCGCCAGGATTCAGAGCCCAGCAGCCGCGGAGCGTCCTCGCTCCTACCCCTACCCCGCACGCCCAGGCCCCCGCCAGCACCCCCAAGGGCCTCAGGAGTTAAGTATAAGCCCCCAGCCCAGCAGCCCAGCCCTAACAACCTCCCACAAATCTTCCCCTTTGCCTCTGACTTCTCCTCATTTTCCTGTGCACATAAAAAGTAGCTACTAAACATTTCGCTCTCCCTCACCTCTCCAGCTCTCCTGGAAGTCTGCGTGCTGAGCTCCTTTCTCCCCACCTCGTCTCCGTTACCACACTCTCATCCAACCTTCGATGTGCTTTGCAAATGTTTCCTCTTCCTTTACACTCGGCCTAATTTTCTGACCAGAAGTAGACGCAGCACTTTACAGTCTACCTTCTTATTTATGTTGTGCTGCAGTCTGTCCCCACCCCCAGCCCAACAAGATCAACGCAGGCACTAGATCCCAGCCACCTGTCACAAGCTCCTGAACTACGTAACGGTGAACTCGAGAAGGAGCAGAGCTAGAGGGAGAGGGCACCGTGAGTCCAGCCCTCACAGGGACTGGGGTGACGAGTTCTGAGCCCTGGGGGGTGGCGGGCAGGGGCCAGGCCAATTAGTTCTGCTCTGCAGTCAGCTCCCAAAGCAGCCTGCCATTTTCCCTTTCTGCTCGGCAAAAGCCATAGTTCATAAATTTTTTCCTTTGTAAAACTGTAGACTTGAAATTCTACTTACAAAAAAAAACAAACTCAATTTAAATAAACGTTCCACCCATGCCAGACCGTTAAGCTGCTCATGCCTGGGAAATGGGACTGTGTGCGCGTGTGCGTGCGTGCGTGCGTGCGTGTGTGTCTGGAAGGCAAGAAGAGGAGGGGAAACGGAATCCCAGAAGAAGGACTATCACTTCTAACTTTATATACACTGGGACTGCTTGGATTTTTTTCCTAATGAGCTGGTGTTTGTAATGTTTTTTAATCAATAAAAAATGTTTAAAGAGCAGCCCTCTACCTCTTTAAAAAAATACTAAGTACCCTTATCATCCTTGACTTTCTCTTGCCCAAATCCTAGACTGCTGCCCTCTGGTTGTACAGAGATTTTTTGAACAGTTGTTTTTGAATCATTTATAAGCATTGTGATTCATACAGTTATATTCATCTGACTTTTGAAAGGCTAGTGATTAAACCTGCAACAGCCCAAACAGAGCCTGCTGTCCATCCTCACCAGGCTCTCGGTCAGTCATGCCCTCAACTGGGGAACACGTCAGAAAGCTGTCTCATTTCCTGGAATGGTTTAAACCAGGAGTGTGCTTTAGTGGTGAGGAAAAGGGAGGGCCAGACTATAAAGGGCGGAACTTGGCAGAAAGGAGGAGGGAAAGAGCACAGCAGAGAGAGAAAGGAAGACACTGATTCTATGTCGCCTCAGGTCCAGCCTTCGTGGGCTCTGGCCAGAGCAGGTTACCATATGTTACCTGGTAACAGTCAATCTGGGGGAAAAAAAGCACATTAAAAAGAAACTTTCCCTGGCAACTAAATCCCTTCACATTTAAAAAAGAGGCGAGGACAGGATAATGCATTCAAAATGCATTCAAAACATTCTGGGACCAGCATCTAAGAAAAAAGAAAAGAAGACAAGAAACTGATGGCTCCTCTGAAACCAGTAAGAACACACAAAAGAAGTCCTTTCTCTAAATAATTACCTGTGGAGCTACACGGCTGTAAATGTTTAGCCCATCATGCATGTACATACTGATTTTCAAACAAAAACTCAGGAAAATGAGTTCTTCAGAAATTGATTTCCGAAAAAAGAACTCAGGAAAGTACCTCAGAAAAGTTTTTTTAAGTTAATACACTAAAAAAGAAAATTATGTTGTTCTTATCACTATATCGCTTGTGTGCTATCACACAAAATATCTCATTACAAACTATAATAGATTTTATCCTATAGGAACAAACACTCTTTACAGTAATGGCGTCGTATCAATATTCCTTAAGGCATAAGATAAAATAAAATTGCTCGGCACAATTCCAAATAGCTTGCCTGCCTAGCTGGTTCCTTCCTGGAGAAAGAAGTGGCCGAGAACTAGGTGCACCGGCTGGAGGCGGCAAGCAACAACGGAGATCTGAGCCAAGGCTGCTCGGCGGTGCCCGTAAAGGCTCACGGCCGCCGAGTGCAGGCCTTGCTCGGCTTCTGAGCCCTGAGCCTGGCTGGGCTCCTTTTATTATTTCAACTTATGTTACTTCACACGCGGGTACTTGTCACCTCCCACTGGACTGTGGGGCTGTGTGTCCAGAGGGGGCATCTTTCTTTGATGCACACGAAGGCCCCGTCTAGGCTCCTGCCACAGTGTCAGAGGGGACGACAGGTACTCGCCAGAGGGAGCCAACGCAGCCCAAGTCTTCAGATAAAAAAAGAGAGATGTTCATAGTATAAGCATTTGAAATTGCCACTAAAATTCATACAAAAATCATTCACTCAGGTTTTACGATAATAGTGTCTTTGGGAGCCAGAGCTGCAGGATTCTGCTGGAAGTGGCACCCTGCTATAGAGGGCTTCCTGACCTTTCCATTAGCTCTCCACCTGCCGGGGTGTAGGACGGACCCACAGCAACCGATACGCCTTCTACCACACGAGTGTCACAGCAAGGTTTCTTTGTACTGCGAACTATGAGAAGATCATAAAGGAAAGAGAAATACTGTCTCGAACCCTCTCTTCTGACCTTGTCTTCAACACCACGGCCTCATGTCTCTGACACAGAGCTCTGTGTAACAGTAACTAAAAGAAAATCACTCATTTTCCTAGTTTATGTAATTATATAAGATTTAAATCTCCATAACCCATAACCAATGTCTCCTTTTACTTGACGTCAGAGGAAACACACAGAAAAAAGGGGAAAGAGACCCACGTAACACTGTCATCACTCCCACGCCCCTCCCCCACAAGAGGAAAGATTCACTTACCGAATAAAACTCAAATGAACACCCAGTGACCGGTGTGACCCTGAGCAATCGATGCAAAGGAACACCCCATAGGTTATGCTCGCCCAGCTGGGATTTTTGGCACCACAATCAAAACACACCTGAAAGAAAATTTAAAAACTCAGTTATTGGGGCCAGCCGGGTGGCATAGTAGTTGAGTGTGCGCGCTCCGCTGCGGCGGCCCAGGCTTCAAGGGTTTGGATCCCGGGTGCGCACCGACACACCGCTTGTCAAGCATGCTGTGGTGGCGTCCCATATAAAGTACAGGAAGATGGGCACAGATGTTAGCCCAGGGCCAGTCTTCCTCAGCAAAAAGAGGAGGATTGGCAACGGATGCTAGCTCAGGGCTAATCTTCCTCACAAAAAAAAAAAAATTCAGTTATTAATTTACATTAGCCAAATTAGCCATCCTATAGGATAAAATATATGGTTTAGCTTGAGAGCTGCTTAACCTTTACAATTTAAACTGGTTATTAGAAAATATCTCACCTAGATTTCTTTTTAAACCTCAAATTTCAATTTCTTTTATTATAATAATATTATATTATATATAACTATATTATATTAATTATATATTAATAGAATTGTATTGATATAGTGCATTAATTATATAATAGTTATATTATTACGTATCTACTATAACACTACGCAGTGTGTGTAGTGAAGAGAACTTAGTAGTGTATATCATCCCAAACATTACCTATCCTTGAAGCCTCAACAGGGTTCCTACCAGCCACGTAAATGAACCCTGGCCCTTACGTTCAGGATGTCCCCCTGCTTGCAACGCTCACTGACAGGCACTCGTGCCTATTTCTTCTCCCCCCAGCCAGAGGCGAAGGAGAGTGTGGTAGCCAGCTCCAAAGTGCCCCAGTGATCCTCCCCTCCTGGTAGTCACACTCTTGTGTAATCCCCACCCTCACTTGTCCAGGGTGGCCTGTGTGACCAATAATATGGCGGAAGTGTCAGCACGTCATTCCTGAGATTAGGCTATACAAGATGCTGTGGCTTCCTTTGTCCCTTGCTCTCTCTCTCCCTTGGATGACTGGCTCTGGGGGAAGCCAGCTGCCTTTTCTCGAGGACACTCAGGAAGCCCAGTAGAGAGACTCAAGTGGGGCGGAACTGATGCCATTAGTGCAACAGCCAGTGCGGCGGGGGTGGGCTGACCAGCCCCTGAGCGAGCTGGGGGTGGCGACTGCAGCTTTCAGATGCCTGCAGCCCTGCTGCCAGCTCGGCTGCAGCCTCAGAGACCCTCCGCCTTCCTCTCTCAACACTGACTGGAGGGAAACACTCTTCATCTGATAACGGACATAAAAGTACTTTCAAACACACACTGCTCGTGGTGGAAATTAATATTTATAATTAATTAACGTCAGAACAACAGGATAGTAAAAATTCCACTAATAAGAGAATTACTTTTAATTTTTTTCCAGAAAAAAAAAGCATATTTTAGCCAGCTAAGACACCCCCGGATTCCTGGCCCTCAGAACCCATATGAGACAATATACGCTTGTTGTTTAAGATGCTAAGTCCTGCGGTAGATAGCAATAGATACTAATACAGAAAGATGTTCCTCTCTGAGATGCTGTGTCCTTCTCTACCTCTGCCCCTCCACTCCGTCCAGGTCACTTTTATAATCTTAGACACACAGCCCGTCACCAAGGAATGTGGCCCCTCTTGCACTGAGGGCGCTGAGGGCTCCTGATGGGTCAGGAACCTTTCCCTTCATCACGCGTTCCTCCTCCACTGGCACAGAGCCCCTACTGGGTCAAAGCTCAAGAAATGACTGTTGAAGAGATTTGTCTATTTTTTTATGTCCCACAGAGCCCGAAAAATAGTGCCTTACTCATAGCAAGCACTCACTAAATATATGTTAATCAAATGAACAATTTAACAAAACTTAATACCGGCTCAAAATTACCACTAGCCCCTTCAACACTGACTAAAGTCAAACGTTCTTCATCTGAGAGCAGGACATAAAAGTTCTTTAAAATACACAGTGCTTGTCATGGAAATTGATATTTATAGTTAAAGTCAGAACAACAGAATAGTAAAAATTCCACTCATAGAAGAATTGTGGTTTTTTCCAGAAAAAAAAGCCCCCTATTTTATTTTATTTAATTAATTAATTAATTTGTTTTTTGCTGAGGAAGATTCACCCTGAGCTAACCTCTGTGCCAATCTTCCTCTATTTTGTATGTGAGCCACCGCCACAGCATGGCTGCTGCCGAGTGGTGTACGTCCATGCCTGGGAACTGAACCCGGGCCACCTAAGCGGAGCATGCCGAACTTAACCACTAGGCCACGGGGCTGGCCCCAAAAGCCCCCTATTTTAGATACACTTTACAGGCAGAGCCACCTATGTGAAGGTTGTCCCAACATAATCATCAAGAAAGATCTGGCTTTTGGCCTTTTGAGAGCAATACAAGAGCAAAAACCTGAGATTTTCCACAGCCTCTCACCACACAGGCTCACATCAAGCACGTGTGAACAGTGGGGGTGAAGTGACAACTGACATGAAAGCTGCCAGTCCATTCGATTCAGCGTTTATTGATTGCCTGCTGTATGCCAGACACTGAGGTGGGCGCTGAGGTGTTAGGAAGTCGACAGGGTCACTGGATTCACAAACACTTGCTGAGCCCTGCTCCCTGCCAGGCCATGTGCTGGCCTGTGAAGAGCTCACGGTGCAGTGGGAGAGAAGGGCACAGAAATTAAGACGCCCTGTGGTAACTAACAGCCATTAGAGTGAGAAATTCCCTTCTGTGGCACACCAAACAGTGCCACCGACTCTGCCAAAGGTGCTGTCCCTCTGCGGGAGGCTATTTGTCTCCCCCATTTACTCAACTAACAGTTGTGCCCTTCCTATCAAGTGTGTGCCTGGCACACACGAAGTGGGCACACAAAGGTGGTCCAGGAAGAGTGGGCCCGCACGGAGCCCACGGTCTAGCAGTCCAGTGGGCAAGACAGTTAAGGTTGAATCTTAGCAAGCAAGGACAGAATGCAACACATGTTCTAGATGGGGTCCAAGAGGCATTTGGGATATCAAGAGTAGAGCCTAAAAGGGCAATAAGTAGCAAAAGCCTGTGCAGGAAATGGCCCTGTGGAGAGAGGTGACAGCCAAGATAGGAAGAGCGTGCAAGCCTGAATCACCCCTGAGGGGGTCGCAAGGCTGGCTATGAGAAGAGAGTGGGGTTTCTGACATGGCAGCCTCAGCGTCCTCCTTGATGCACCAACCATGACAAGGAACTGCTGGAAAGGAGTTCCAGGAGGGCGGGGCCCTATCTATCTTGTTCACCTGAGCTGAGCACCGAGCCTGGCACAAAGTAGGCACTAAATGCAAAACCAGGTAGCGGGGCCATTTACAGGGGTGGGAGAGCTAACGAGTCGGGCGTGGGACACAAATCTGGCTCTCGCGACGCTGCCTGGATTCTCCTGATGGAGCAGAAGACCATGCTTTGAGAGAGGGGATGGCACTATGTTGATACGCAATCCCAAACCAAAGCTGAGACACGGTTTTCTAAGCAGAATACCAGTTCTCAGGGTGATGAAAAACAGTTTTTGACTAACAATTTGTTTTGCCTAACGAGGGGCATAATAATTACTACAGAAATAACAGCTAATACTGCGTGTTTACCCATGTCAGGCACTGTTACTGGCCACTGCATCTTCATAACAACCCCACCAGAAGGTGCTGGCTTCCTGGGTGTGTGTGTGATCTGCGCAGTCGCACGGGGCCCCGCACTCAGGAGGGCCCATGGCTGTTTAATGCTCTGCTGTCTCATCTTGAAACTCTTGAAACTTTTCAAACAAGGGCCCTGCATTTTCATTTTGCACATTTTGCATTACCTGCAAACCATGGAGTGCGGTTTTGATCCTCATTTTAGAGAAAACTAAGGAATTATGAAGTTAAGTATGACAGCTAAGAAGTAGTATCTCGGGGACTGGACCCCAGGCAGCCTGCCCCGGAGCGCACCCTTCATCCCTTCACCACACTGTCTCTCACGGCAGAAAACACACAGCCAGGCAGCCCTTTATCTATCCTTCAGCTCCTAGACTATCAGCTCCCTGAAGGCAGGAGCCCATCTCTTTATCCATCAGTGTACCCTCAACGCTCCGCAGTGTCCAGCACACTCAGGTACTCAACGGATACTTGCTGAATGAATAACTCAAGCAATCAATATAAAACTAAGGAACGATATAGCTTCAAGGAAGGATTCACAAACTAGAAAACTGACCCATATGAATTAAAACCTTTGATCCAGAGTAAATATTCATCATACAAGAGAGGAAGAAATTGGATACCACATTATAAAAGAAAACCAAGTTGTTTCTCTTTAACTCCTCTTCCCGTCTCGTCTAACTCAGAGCTCTTGTTTACAACCCCATTTAAAAAATGCTTGTCATCATCCAACTCTTCCACATCATGAAAACTAGTTTTCATCTGCTTAGGTAATGGTTTCTTACTAACGATCAAATAAGTCTTTTTTTTTTTTTTTTTTTTTTTTAAAAATTTTATTTATTTTTAATTTTTCCCCCCAAAGCCCCAGTGGATAGTTGTGTGTCGTAGCTGCACATCCTTCTAGTTGCTGTATGTGGGACTCGGCCTCAGGATGAACGGAGAAGTGGTGCCTCGATGCGCACCCGGGATCCGAACCCGGGCCGCCAGCATCGCAGCGCGCGCACTTAACCACCAAGCCACAGGGCCGGCCCCCAAATAAGTCTTAATCAAGAAATGTAGCACAATACTGTGGAACATCTCCAGAAAACACTTTTGCTCCATGCTCTTAGTAATCCTATTACAGAAGAGAAAATTTTCCACAGGCCTGTGGTTCATGATAAAAATAATAATAACAAAAACTAGTTGACATTTATTGAGGCCTGGTATGTGCAGGGACTGCTCTGAGTGCTTTTCTCGGATTTTCCCATTTAATCCTCACAACAACCCTCTGAGTGGATCCAGCTCATGCCCCCATTTCAGATGAGGACAATAAGGTACACACGGTGGTCAAGTAGCCTGCCCAAGGTGACACAGAGAGCTGGGGTCTGGACAACAGTTTATAAGCAGCCCACACGTGTCCCTCCAAAGTGTCTCTTGGTATAAAGACACTGGCTTCTTATTTAAAATGGGCACCTTCCCTTTGATGAATTCAGTCAGAGAGAATACATGCTATGTTTCTGAGATAAAACAGACAGGAAAACATAGTTTCCACACTGCTAATGGCAGATCCTAATCTTGTCTAGTTACACAGCAACCACTTTTTATAAACAGATCGATCTAAAGTGGAAAATCAAGAAAACAGCGAAGAAATTGGCACCGGAGAATTTCTGGAGCCTCTCTCCTCCCAACCTTCCTACCTTCATCGGACATCACCTCCAATAAACTGTTACCTCTCTCATTCCCCTTAGGCTGTAAAAACATGGGCTCCCTTCCACCAAGACTTAAAGACATCTAAATTTTGTAAAACTCAAGAACTTTCTATGCCGTCATGTCATGGCTCGTGACCACGCTCGTTAACAGCTGTTCATTTGGGAGGTGACAGTGGGGACCAGACAGAACTCCTGTCACAGCAGGGGAAGAGAGAGTCCATGCTGACACGACAGCCCTTTGCCCTCTCCAGGTTCCACTTCGACCTGTGATCCTCAGTGGAGGGTGTTGCTTTAGCCCCAAGTGTCATCACAATATCCCCAGCCAGTTGCGAAATGTAAAAGTCACAGAGGGGAAAACAGCCTCTGGAGACAGAAAAAAAAGGAAAACCCCAATCTCCAAAGTAACCCACAGGGAGGGAAGAGAAATGGTCTGTGGTGGGCTTTCTTAGCAAGAGAAAAGAGGTGGAAGCCACTGCAGAGACCACTTAGCAGCTTTATCAGACAGGGAAACTGAGGCTGCCACCAAAGGACACAAGGAACCAACCAGGCCCCACACAGGGGCCCCTGAGGAGCTTGAGAGGTGAGCTTGAGGGTGGGGTGGGGCGAGCCGAGCTTTGAAAGGCCCAGCGCTACCAGCTGGAGTTTCTGACCGGCGCATCTTCCCGGCTGGGTCACAGGTGGCCAGCGGGATCCGACCCCACTCCCAGGACCCCCCCATGTGTGCTGCCCAGCCCGCTCTCCGGGCCGGCGAGCTCGCCCCCAGCTCTCAGGAAGTCACAGTGTCCACTCCGCCACCCCCAAAAGCCGCCCCTGCCCGCGTGTATGCTCCCCGGCCCTGTGTCAGGGACCCACAGATGTCTGCCTCCGGGACCCCATATGCTCTCGCCTCCCCCCGCAGGACCCCTAGGGTCTGCCCCGCGCCGGACCCTGCTGTGCGCCCCCTCCCCCGCCCCTCCCCTGCTGAGGCTGGGGGCGGCGCGCGGGCCGGACCCAGGCGAGGCCCAGCCGCCGCGGCCGCACAGTGCGACGTGTCACAGGCCCGACCGGCTCCTCCTCCCGAGGCCGCGGCCACAAGCGCCGCAGGGGCGGCCCGGGGTCCGGCGCGGATCCCAAGCAAGCCTGAACACGCCCGGCGACCGTTACCTTGTTGGTGGGCACCGAGCGGAGGCGCTTGAAGATGGTTAGGATGTCCTGCTTGCTGGGGTCCCCCATGGTCGCCAGAAAACCGAGGCGCAGCTGGCCCGGCCAACCGGGAAGGGCCGAGCCGCAGCGGTTGCCGCCTCCGGGAGATTGACGACGGCCGAGGGGCGGGGCTGCGCGTGACGGCCAGGCCCCGCCCCGCCCCCAGGCCCCGCCCATGGTCCCGCCCACAACCGGAGCGCACGCGCCACGCTCCTTCCTAGGGCCCCGCTTAGCTGCGCCGCTGGCTCCGCCCACTCAAGCCCCGCCCCCGGTGCTGCACGCGCGTGCGCAGGAGCCTCGCGCTTCCTCCAGGCCTTCGCCCGCGGTTCGCTCAGGGCAGTGCTGTGGGATGCTTGGCCCAGGTGGGGTTAGCTCCTACGCGCTTAGCCTGAGGAGCCACCAGCGTTTCGGCTGGGGGGTCGCCACTTGGACTTCCTTGGCCAGGGTCCTCTCACCTCCTCGCCTTGAGGGCGGCGGAACCAGTCATTCCTGGTGGCCAAGGAGGAAGCTTGATGGGAAACGGCGCCTGGCGAGGACCGCCGTTTCCCGAGTCGCTTTCCTTTTTTTTTCCCCCCTAACCTGAGGCCGGGCCCTGGGCGGGGCGCTTTCTACACCCGGAGATTGGTTTTCTTGGAGTATCCCTTTGGGAGTGATAAGAGATTCTCATATTGAGGTATATGGGGTAACTTCAGGTTCAAAACTGATTCTGCTAGAACTAAAAAGCCTGACTTGCAGCCTGTCAAACATACGTTGTACATCTGCTTAGCCCTTAAAGTCAAGATAAGAATGCATACTTCCCCTCCTGTGGCCTGTGGGTAACGCTGGATTAGTCCCTTTCGTGACATCACGGTCCCGTTGACCTAATTTGCAACTGAATACCTCTGAAATTTTGATGAAAATGTATCCTGAGTGTGTTGAATGTATGTTCTTTGTTCTAAAAAGGTGTAAGACTACTGAAAATCACGCTTCTCTGGAACGTTTTCTAAGGCCTTCCTGGGTTATAATCCTCACTCTGGCTCAAGTAAACTCACCTTATTTCTCTTATCTGTAGAATGGTTATTGCTTATTTTGCATCAACAGGTGTAAGGTCAGTGAGAGGGCGGTTCTGTCAGGACAAGAGGCGCACAGCCAGGGGCCGCAGGCCAGATGGCGCAGCGGTTAAGTGCGCGTGCTGCGCTCTGGCCCCGGGTTTGCAGGTCCGGATCCATGCTGTGGCGGGGTCCCATATAAAGTAGAGGAAGATGGGCACGGATGTTAGCCCAGGGCCAGTCTTCCTCAGCAAAAAAGAGGAGGATTGACAAAGGTTGTGAGCTCAGGGCTGATCTTCCTCACAAAAAAAAAAAAAAAAAGAGGCAGGCAGCCAGAACTGAGGAACAGGGACAGGAGAAGCGTGACCCGTCCCAGCGCCTCGGGCTTCAGCCTGCCTGTCGCTAACGTCACGAGGAGAAGGCTTTAAACGCTGGGCTTCAGGCGCCTCCTTCACAGCAGCGGTGTGGCGCCGCTGGAAGCACGCAGCCCGAGTGGCGGTGCGGTCCCCTGGCCCCGAGCCGGTTCAGCCAGCTGCTCCCGTGCCCTGGGATCCTGATCAGGTCGCCTCTCTACAGCTTGTTTTGCTCATCGGTACAGCAGGGTCAGAGATGGAGAATCAGGGCTGAGCAGCCTCCCAGGAAGCCCTGGCACAGCCTCCTCTGGCAGTGCTCTTTCTGCTGTTAGAGGCTAGAAGGTTCACACAACCGGCTAGAGGTCTGGATAGATGCCTGCAGGGGACGGGAGGCTTGCAGGGAATGTGGCCTCCTGTAATCCCAGAGCTGGAGCTCTTCCGAGGAAGGGAGATTTATTACGTTCCAGAACAGTGCATTCCTTTTGCAGGCCACTCTGCCTGGAAGTTCTTCCTTGTATTGAGTCCAAGTGTATACCCTGTGCTTCATGTCCGTTGGAGCTGGTCTGGCCCTACGCCGAACACCTGGAGTGCTGATGAGGAACAGCCATGCCCTTTGCGATGGGAACAGGAATGAGAGTTCCAGTTCCCTGTGGAGCTGAGATCTTCTTACTGACCGAGTTACAGATCAGATTCGGAGTCCTGTCTGCTCCACTCTCCGACAGAGAGATCCCAGAAGAGAAGAATGAAAGGGCAGTGCTAGTGAGCGAATGTCGAGAGAAAGAAGTAGGGTGCCAAACTACACTTACAGTGTGGTCCTGATTTTGTGACACACACCTTGATGATGACGACAACAAAACACATGCACGCGTGTATGTAGAGAAAAAAGACTGGAAAAAATACGCCAGAATGTCAGCAGTGTTACCTCTGGATGTCGGGACCAAGATGACTTGAATGCTTTTCTGAATATTTTTGCATCGTTTTCAAATTTTCTTCTGAACCTTTGTTCCTTTTACAATTAAGGAAAAATCATTAACATTGTTATTTGAAAATATTATAAAGGGGCAGGAGCAGCCTAGCCTGGCTGTCTTGACCCAGAAGTGGCCAATGGGCTGCACCCAGTTCACTTGCAGTCAGTTTCGCCTTGGTGAGCTACAGCTGGTGTTGGTTCTCCTTTCCGCAAAGAGAGGGATGCTATTTAAGTTCGTTCGTTCATCAGTTCTTCCCTTCCTTCACTCATTTCCTAGCCCTTTCCACAAAGGGTTTGAACAGGTCTACAGCAATATTATCTGAGTTGCATTGGATGGTCTGAAATTGATCTCATGTTTTCTTTTCCGTTTAGCTCCACAAGCACTGGGGCTAGAGAGGAGATTAAGGCCCAGTCCCTGCACGGGTGAGCTTGCTGTTCGCTGGTGGCGACAGACCGCCCAGCATGGACAGTGGGGAGGGTGCGTGCTGGGCTGAGGTGCTCCGGGGCACAGAAGAGGGCCTTTCAGCTCAGGCAGCTACCGGTGGCGGTGGCGAGGTGACTCCAGTCACGGTAGGTAGCATTTAACGAGCGCCACTGGGGGCAGGCACGTCCTCGCTGTCTGAGGCCAGGCACGTCCTCGCTCTCTGAGGCCAGCGCCCTCGTGGTCCAACAGCACAGCATGCTGGGCAGGGCACCGCACTGCGCTGCCCGCCTCTGAATGTTAGCTTGGATGCGTGGTAGAGCTGCACCTTGGGCAAGTTAGCTAACCTCTCTTTGCCTCAGGTTCCTCACCTGTAAAAAGTAGGAATAATAATATTTACCTAGTTTTTGGGACTACTGTGGGGATTCAGTGAGTTAGTAAATGTTAAAGAGTTTAGGACAGGGTCTGGCACAGAGTGAAATACAAATGTTTACTACAATTATTCCAATTTTATAGATGAACAAACTAAGGCTTAGAGAAAGTATTTCGCTCAAAGTCACACAACTAATTAAGGGCACACACTTGGAGCCCAGTTTGAGTGCAGAGAATACGACCTCACAGTCCCTGCTCTTAACCACTGATTCATTTTTATGTCTTCGTAAGACTGTAAAGTCTTGTCAGATCTTGGTGTGGAAAATCCAGCCTCTGTATGTACAGTGTCATATATAGATGACTGTATGGCTTGGAGGAACATTTCCGCCCAGCCACGGTTGGGAAGGATTTGGAGTCTCCATCTGGGGTCTGCATACTTTGGTTGTTATCGGCTTGAGTTGGGGTGGTATTGGGGGTACTTGGAGACCACCCTCATAACAAGGCACCCCATATTTGTGTTTTTTCAAGCAGTTTCACACTCAACCTCATATGATTATGAAAAAGAGAAAATACGAAGCATTTCCCCATTTTCCAGGTGAGGAAACCGAGGGTCAGGGAGTTGAAGGACTTGCTTGAGGACATGCAGCTTGTCAGTAACACACGTGCCCCTCTGACCCAGTGGACACCTCTCCCTCTACCACCTGGCTGCCACCTAACCCTCTTGCCCCTTGCAGGGGACTCAGGAATAGCCAGGGTGGGCTGTCACATTGGCCTGTGTCCCTCGCTCCCTGGGCTCTCTTTGTCCATGCTGTCCCCACCTCTTGGCCAAACTGTGGTTGGTCAGTCTCCAGGTCCCCAGGGTCCAGCTCCTGTGCCCCAGGGGTGGGTTAGGAGCGCCTGCTGGTCCTATGAACAAATCAAGGAGCACATGGAATTGCTGGTACTCTGTCTTGCTGTGTGGACCAGTGGGTCTCAAGGTGTGGTCCTGGATCAGCATCACCTGGGGACTTAGAGATGCAGACTCTGGGCCTCATCCCCAACCTTGTGACTCAGAACCTCTGGAATGCAGCCCAGCAAGCTGGGGTGTAACAAGCCCTCAAGGGGTTTGAAAAACAGCAGTTTAGACAACAGCACCTGCTGTTTGGAGTTGTGCCCCGGAGTTCAGACCCCAGTTCTGCCCCTGACTTGCTGTGTGGCCTGATGCAAGTCATTCAGCCTCTCTGGTTTGTTTCCTCATCTGTAAAATGCACTCAGATGTTGTGAGGAGGTTTATATGACCCTTTGCAGGGAAGAGTGCTCAGCATGGGCCCTGGTGTGTAGCTGATAAATGTTAAGCCCGAGGCTGGTGGAAACAGTGGACTGAGGAGCTGCCTGTTCCCTGACAATGCCGGGGTCAGCCTGGCTCCTCTGACCCTGTGTGTGGCAGCGGCCCCGGCTGGTGGAGGACAAGCCCGATACCTTAACCACAGGCCTGGCCAGATTCAGCCGGGCCTGGGTCTGCCCTCCTTGGGGTAGTGGAGCTGCCTCTATCCTGGCCCTGGTCTCTCCACCAGGGGGCCCCCATCTGTCCACTGAGGCACCGTGGCCGAGGCCCTTCTGCTGGCTCACACCGCAGAGACCACAGAGGTCCAGCCCGGAGGTCACTGCCTGCCCTCCTAAGGGAAAAGCGAGGCTGAGAGAGGGGCTGGCACCTCCTGCGGGCGTCTGGGGAAGGGGCTGGGGAGGGGCGCGGGCCCGCCCCACCTCAGAGAGGCTCAGGGCAGAGCCGGGGAGGGGAGCAGAGCGGGGCAGCGGCCACCCCGGAGAGAGCTGGGGCTGTGAGAAGGGACACTTACGGGACAGGGCGCCTGTGCGCAAGGTCTCCTGCTTCTGGACACCCCCAGGGGCAGCCCCACTTTACGGAAACTGAGGTTCAGGCACTTGCTTGGGCTTCAGGTCCCACAGAAGTGTGGGTCCTCCCCAGTCTGTCTGCAGACCAGCCTGATCTCCTGCCCCGGCGAGGACGCTTCCCCTGGAGGTGGGGAAACAGATGGAAGACTCCATAGGACTCTGCCTCTTAGGGCCTTGGGGCCAGGTTGGGAGGCCCTGCTTGTCCTAGTCTCCTGAGATTTGTAGGCTGACCTCTGGAATCCCCACGCACACTCTCAGAGGACCATCCTGCCCTCTCCTCCCTGGCTGCTTCCGCCCTGGTATCAGAATGATTCGGTCCCTCCCTGAGCTTCCAGAGTCCCCAAAGGCAAACATGGACCCTTCTTCATGTCTGTCGTGACATCACCGAGTCCTGCCCACAGCAAATGCTCAAGAAATGCTTGGTGAGTGAATCAACCCAGGAACAGAAAATAAGGGAGGGAGCCGGCTGATTCCCTGCCGAATTGGGGCTCCTCGGGGTCAGGCCTCGCTCAGTTGCCCCAACCACTTGCTCTGTGACCACGGGCATATCACTCCTTCCCTCACTTGACCTCAGTTTCCCCATGAACAAGGAGGGGCTTGGTAGGTGGCCCACAGGGTCCCTTCTCAACCTCCACCATCCCTGTCCTGACGGATGGTCGGTGGGTCCCCTCTGAGCCTGCCCCTAGTACCCGAGGCCTGGGCGCAGCTCAGACCCACAGGCCACCCAGGAAAGGCCAGGCCAGGCATGGGGAGAGGACTTGCACGTGTTTAGGTGGATGAGGTCCCTGCAGTGAAGCCTGGGGCACAGAGCCCAGCCCCATCTTCTGTCTGCAGGAACCTCAGAAGACCCAGTGTTTTAGCCAGATCCTGCCTGGATCACTTGGCCAGAGCTTGCTTGCCCTCTGGGCATCACGGGGGGGGGGGG